GAACAACGTAACCAAGATTATAAAGTTGACTGATAGAAATCAAATTCAGAGATAGTTGAGGGATATAGTAAACATCGGAAAGAGGGAGAAGTGAAGTCATAACAGATCACCATTAAAAAAAAAAAAAAAAGGAGTCATAGCAGATCCAACAACCACTACTGTCATGGAAGTCCCATTGGCAGTTAGACTAGTAGGAGGGGGAGAAGGAGATAAGGTAGAAGGAAACAAAGATGGATTATTAGTCATATGATGTGTAGCATCTGAATCAAAGACCCAACTAGAGTGAGGTATACTTGATAGTGTTAATAAAGACAAACCTATAGGAGATGAAACAGATACAACATCCATTTTCCATAGTGCAAGTTTTGAAAACTATTTTTTCTTTTCTTTCACAATTCTTATTTCAACACTAAACCCTAATTTTTCAAAATCTTAATCAAGAATAGAAGGAAGGAGAAGTAGAAGTAAGCAAAATCTGCAATTTTTGCACTGTTCAGGGACAAATTTGAAATTCTGCAATTTTTTAGACTGATTCTGAAATTTCCATAGCTTCTGAAAATTTAGTGCATTATGTCTAATTTTAGAAACTTCAAAGAAAATAAAACAATAGCAACTACAAGTCTACTTCAACCAATAGATGTAACCCTAGCATCCATATAATAGTCAAACAATACAAAGACAAGAGAGTTGTGTATAGTAGAGGAAAAAATATTCAAGTCACTGTTCATGCTACAGGGATTACAAATCCCAAAAAAAATGACTAATCGGAGTCGATTCTGATACCATGGAAACTTGCAAATGAGAAAATACATATGAAGAATAGTAAGAGAGAAAAGAAGACTGCTACATCTAATAGTCATAGTTGTCAAATTGCGTATCGAAAGTCGTATTGTTTTTTAAAGATAGTGTATCATATAGTATCATGTATCATAAGATATGCCCAATTTTAAATAATTATTATATATATATATATACATTTGTAAAAAAATCATAGACTCATAATAACATAGTATTTCATTAATATTCTATCAACTATTCAAGTTCCCAACATAGTTCAATGATATTAAAATGTAAAGACCTCTAATTTAAACTTTTAACATCAACTACTTGAACAACCTTAATTATTCAGAAATTTTGAATTCAATTGAACAACATTAACAACAGACTTTATTTATTTTTTTAAATCATAACCACTGAAACGACGTTTCACTTGTGAGTGATTTAAAAATAAGTCCTGGAGTGAAACGATATTATTTCAGCTCCCCCTAAAAAAAACAGAATTTTCATGTATCGTACGATACGGTGCAAAACGATATAGAGACACGATACATATCGCTTTTCAGGTATATCATGACGTATCGTACGATATGTATCGTGTATCATACGATACTAATAACTATGCTAATAGTAAGTAAACATAAATATAAATATAGTCTTAATGGACCTTATATGTATTCAATCTAGAGGAGGCCTAAACATTGAAATTCAAAATGATATCAAATTAAATCGGGAACTTGTTACCCTGTTTTTTTTTTATTTTTTTTTGGGAGTGGGGGTGGTCCGTTCTTTTTTTTCTCCTAAGAAATTCTTCTACCCTTAAATTTTGCTCCTTTTCTTTGGGAGCATTCTTCTTGTCTTCTTCTTGTCCCGGATCAAGTATACTTCAGGGATTATTAAGAACCTTTAAGATTTGAGGTTATGTAAATAATTGCTTTCCAGTCACTTCCTATCTGTCTTTTCTCGTTAAGCTTCTCTCTTCTCTTATAAATGAGTGCCCCCTCAAAGTTTGAGTTCCTTTAGCCCTTCTCCTCTTTCCTCTCTTTTTTGCTCATCTCCTTTTCTTATTTTTTGGCTCCTCCAGTTTAATTCACTTCAACTTATTTGCTAAAAAAATAATCTATTTTATTTTATGAAGAACAGAAGTTACATCAGTTTGTCAATAGAGCCAGTGTTTCCTAACTGTCCCATAAAATGACTGCCAGAAGCTTGATATATTTCTCATCCTGGTGGTTGCTTCTGCTGGCACTGAGTTGAGATTAGCTGTGAGTGCAAGAGTTTGTAAGATGAAGGGTTTTAATGGGTGTTTTCAATTTCAAGGGTCTTGCCGACTCTTAGACAACTTCTCTACTAGTACCACTTGGATTTCAGCCAACTAGAAGGTGTTGATGAACTTTGGTTGACACTAGGCTCAGGAGAAATGGTGTCGATTGATATGTTAAGCTGACCGATATATGCTTGAATTTTTAAGAAACCATTGGTCCTCAGTGCCATGTAAAGCTTAGCTTTTTTCACGAGTTATAATAGCAAAAATTTAGGGTCGGTCCTTGAAATAAAATTAGCTAACTCGATATTAATTAAAGATTAAAGAAAATTTTAAGAGTTTCGCTCTCTCTCGCATGCAGATGTGCACACACAAGAAATAACCTTATTGTCTTATGATGAGAAGCATGAAACTTGCATTAGCACCTCGCTCTTCCCTTCTCTATCATCTTTCTGGATCTTTCATTTTGTGCTCGTCTTCCCTGCTGTTTTGAAAGTCTTCTTTTCCTCTAGTCCACTTTTAGTTGTCTTTCTTCCTTTTCAACTTTACGTAACGTAGATTTTGGTTTTTTTTGGGGTGATAGTGGAAAAGTTAGCACAACAATATCTTTCAATACCTTACATCTTTGCTTGTTGGCTTCTGAATTATTTCAACTTGATTGTATTATGTTCAAAAATCTACTGCAAGTAGGAAGCGTAATCAATATATATATATTTTTTTTTAAAGATACAGTCTATTTCATTGAGCCGGCTCTCAATTTTTATTTTCACCTCCACGTTCTGCTTCTGTTCCATTGTTTATCTATGTGTGTAACACCTTCATTGTGGTGATCAGGACTTACAGTTGGCCCGACTTAAAATAATTCATGAATAACGTTACGAAGAAAAGAAGTCCNCAGTTGGCCACGACTTAAAATAATTCATGAATAACGTTATGAAGAAAAGAAGTCTGATTCCCATAGCTAAATATAGTTGAGTCTCATGTTTTGTGCAGGATCCAGCTCGAGCATGCTATGGACCAAAGCATGTTGAGGTTGCCCATGAGCGAATGGCTGTCCAAACACTTCTCATCACTGACGAGCTCTTCAGGTGAGTAACATCATCAGGTCTTTATCACAGCTGACTGAGAAGCAGATCATGTATTCTTTGGTGCTCTTCTTTTTGTGAGTCCATTCCCACGGTTCTTGACCATGTTGGTCTGGATGCAAGCATAAAAATAACTGCATGAATTATGCTTTGTTGTGCTTTACTCTCCATTAGTTATGGTCTTTTAGGGCATGCAACCTTTACCTTTTTTGTTTGTTTTTCCTGATCTCCTATTATTTGTACTTTCTTTGTTGTCCTGCTGAACTGAAAATGCCAAATAATGAACCCTTCCTCGAAGTACTTCTTTATTTTTTTTTGGGTTTTTAGTACTTTCCTAAGCAAGACTGTTTTGAGTTCTTTTTTTTTTTTTTTTTAATTTCGTTTTTCTTGTTTGGGGGTGCTACATTTTTCCAAGGTTAATCATATGTCTAATGGTGTACAAATGCACATATAAATGTAACATTCATATTGTAAGATGTTTATAGTTTTGCAAAATAGTAATGAAACATGCTTTAACTTTTCTAACTGAATTGCTTTTTTGGTAAGAAAAATGTTGCCCTACAAAATAAGTTTCACTAATTTGCTTATGTNTGGATTATTATATTTTAATTTTCTATAAGTAAATATTTGGGTGGTGAATTTGTAGTGGTCTTGGTCTGTGCTAGTAATGGGTGATTTCGGGTTTGGCTTTTCTTTGGTGGTGGTGAATGTTGTGAGGAATGTTAGATAAATTGGAGAGTAGCAATTGTGGTGCAAGGAGGGCTTTTGCATTGACGGTTGTATTCCAATTTTTTATTTTTTAGATTTTAATTTTGATTTCACTTGTAATTTGATTTCGCGTATAAATTTTTTTTTTTGAATTTGCATAAAGATTTTTTCTTCAATTTTTGCACCAACGGTAGTGCCGCACAGTGGGCTGGTGGTGCAATTGGGTTTGAAGTTTGGTCTAAAGTGGCACAACCAAGTTTGTATTTTCATGTTTCTTATTCATGGTGCTAAGATGGTTATTCGATGTCTGGTGCAAAGTGGGGGTGGTGGCCAGTGGAGTAGTGAATTGGTAGAGGTGCATTCTAGTGTTGAGGAGGTGGTGGCATCGGAATAGGGAAGAAGAATGGGATTGGGTGGTTTATTGGAGGATGGGGAGGTGTAGGGAGTCGGGTGAAGAAGAAGATGAAGGAAAGGGTATTAATGCCATTTTAGTTTTGTTGTCAACAAAGTTAGGAGGACACTTTAGTCTACTAACCACATGAGGGTTATGTGGCTATTTTTAAATGATAGGGAGGTGATGTGAAAACGGGTATACCATAAAGGGGTAAAATAAAGTTTGCCCTTTTATTATTTAAAAGTGTTATCCTTTTGGATGTTATCATTTATAAGTGTTATTATTGTGGATGTTATCATTATTTATATTGTGTAGTTTATAACTTGAATCCCACATACCATTATGAAGAAGATGTTAATGTGTTAGAAAAATTTGTTGGGTTCGGTTTGGATCGTTGTGTCTAAGATTAAAGACAAATCCAAATAAGAATGCTAAAGTACTTGCAGAGGTAATACTTTAGTATTTCGATCTCATTTTAAGAGTACTATTTTAATGTACAACATCAACATATACATGATATTTAGGTCAAAATATTTTGAGACGCAACGTATTGTTTTGCTGGCTNTCTTATCGAAGAGAAGGAACGAGAAAAACCTAAATTAGGAAAGACAAGAGGAGAGACACTAAAGACACCAGAAGAGCCCAATCGGTAGCTCCTCACTTGACCCATTTCNAACAGAATGAAGAGGAATTTGTATAATTTAAAATCCATATTCTTATCGAAGAGAAGGAACGAGAAAAACCTAAATTAGGAAAGACAAGAGGAGAGACCCTAAAGACACCAGAAGAGCCCAATCGGTAGCTCCTCACTTGACCCATTTCCTTCACCCCCTTCCTAATACCGGTAATCCCGCATCTATTGATTCAGAGCTCATGCCCAAATAGGGGCTTTCTTTTCTCTTGCATGCGTCTTCGTTTCTCATTCATTCAAATCAAAGGAAGCTTCATTGGAAAGGGATAAAAATGGTGCATTGGCTTGGTTGGTGGCTGGCGAGCTTAGCTCTCATCCTATAGCTGCTAGTAGTCGGTCTGCTGGTCAGTAAGCCGCATGGCTTGCAAAGGATGTCTACTTCAGAGGATTGATGTAGGATTGCAGCAGCGAAGGATCCAATTAGAAAAAGAGTAGAAGGGACAATTCTAAAACCTATGTTTTTGGGAGAATGCCAAAAAAGGTGTTTGAATATACATACACCTATTACAAGAGTTCTAAGAATGGTGGATGAGGAAGAAAAAACTATAATTCTATATGTATTTGAAGTAATGAAACGAGCAAGACACGCTGTGAAATATGCGGCTCCTAAATCTAGTAGGAAATATCTTAACATTATTGATGCTCGATGGAAGAAACAAATCATTCACCATATTCATATAACATATAAACTTATTGTTTAACAATATTTTTTTTTTATTATGGGCAAACTTCACTTTACTTGCTTATGGTATTCCAACTTTTCACATCACCTCCCTATCATTTAAAAATAGCTACATAACCCTCACATGGTTAATGGACTAAACTGCTGCGTCACATTTTTTATCCAATCTAACAGGCTGTGTAAGGGATGCGTTGGCAATTCAAATTGGTGCAAAATAATTAAATGACAACAATTCCCTCACCCCTTATCTCACTGTATCTCTCTCAGACTGCACACCGTTGCAAGTCCAATGCCTCCAATTGACCCCTAGTCACCTTTCCTCTTCCGATGATGTGTTGGTGTTGTTTGTGACTGTGGAAGTGTTGCGCTTTTGTCACAGCAGTGGTGGGTTGTGCACATTTTCCATCTTGGTTTTGATTTTATTGGATCTTGATGGTAGTGGTGATGATGAATTTTNTCCAATTGACCCCTAGTCACCTTTCCTCTTCCGATGATGTGTTGGTGTTGTTTGTGAGTGTGGAAGTGTTGCGCTTTTGTCACAACAGTGGTGGGTTGTGCACATTTTCCATCTTGGTTTTGATTTTATTGGATCTTGATGGTAGTGGTGATGATGAATTTTTGCTGGATTATTATATTTTAATTTTCTATAAGTAAATATTTGGGTGGTGAATTTGTAGTGGTCTTGGTCTGTGCTAGTAATGGGTGATTTCGGGTTTGGCTTTTCTTTGGTGGTGGTGAATGTTGTGAGGAATGTTAGATAAATTGGAGAGTAGCAATTGTGGTGCAAGGAGGGCTTTTGCATTGACGGTTGTATTCCAATTTTTTATTTTTTAGATTTTAATTTTGATTTCACTTGTAATTTGATTTCGCGTATAAATTTTTTTTTTTGAATTTGCATAAAGATTTTTTCTTCAATTTTTGCACCAACGGTAGTGCCGCACAGTGGGCTGGTGGTGCAATTGGGTTTGAAGTTTGGTCTAAAGTGGCACAACCAAGTTTGTATTTTCATGTTTCTTGTTCATGGTGCTAAGATGGTTATTCGATGTCTGGTGCAAAGTGGGGGTGGTGGCCAGTGGAGTAGTGAATTGGTAGAGGTGCATTCTAGTGTTGAGGAGGTGGTGGCATCGGAATAGGGAAGAAGAATGGGATTGGGTGGTTTATTGGAGGATGGGGAGGTGTAGGGAGTCGGGTGAAGAAGAAGATGAAGGAAAGGGTATTAATGCCATTTTAGTTTTGTTGTCAACAAAGTTAGGAGGACACTTTAGTCTACTAACCACATGAGGGTTATGTGGCTATTTTTAAATGATAGGGAGGTGATGTGAAAACGGGTATACCATAAAGGGGTAAAATAAAGTTTGCCCTTTTATTATTTAAAAGTGTTATCCTTTTGGATGTTATCATTTATAAGTGTTATTATTGTGGATGTTATCATTATTTATATTGTGTAGTTTATAACTTGAATCCCACATACCATTATGAAGAAGATGTTAATGTGTTAGAAAAATTTGTTGGGTTCGGTTTGGATCGTTGTGTCTAAGATTAAAGACAAATCCAAATAAGAATGCTAAAGTACTTGCAGAGGTAATACTTTAGTATTTCGATCTCATTTTAAGAGTACTATTTTAATGTACAACATCAACATATACATGATATTTAGGTCAAAATATTTTGAGACGCAACGTATTGTTTTGCTGGCTATACTGCAATTAGGGGAAGAACCAAAAGTGATCCAAGTAATTAAGTAGATTGTTTAAACATAATATTTTGTCCTTATATTTTCAGTTTATGTGTTTCTTTAAATTTTTAAGATGTTTCTTAATATTATGTAGCTAAATAGTGGTTTATATGTGGCACTGATGTTCCTAATTTGAGAAAGATTGTTATGAATATAGTATCGTAAATAGCCTCATTTAGTGGTTGTGAGAGAAATTAAAAGCACATTTGTTCACATTCATATTAAAGTGCAGAATCGACTCAATTATCAAAAGTTGAAAAGGCTAGTTTTTGTATAGTTTAACATAAGGTTGAAGTTAAAACACCTTATGAAGGATAAGAAAGGGTACAAATTTAGATCTACAAACTTGGTCACTGTTTTTGAGGAAGATGAAGGTATTTTAAAGTGGTTAAATGATCCAAAAAGTGCAGTTTTAGATGAACTTGATGTTGATGGACAACCAATATGACCAAATGCTTTCCTTAAAACGTGGGCAATTGTTTTTCCAATGATGATGGAGAAGTAGGCCAAAGTTAGAGTGTTGTGTCACTATAGAAATCAAGATTCAAAGTAAGTGGAGAAGGATCAAGTAAAGAAAGGAACAATACTTCACCAATGGATGATGAAGAGTTTGAGACTAATGAGAGGTCCACCAAAACGTATGCAATCTATCAGTCTCACTAATAGTACTGATGATGATCATAATGGTGATGGTAGCAATGATGATAGAGGTGAAGATGATGATAAAGATGGTGCTAATGGTGGTGGAGATGGTGATAGTCTTGGACACGGTGGCATGGTGGTGGTGGTGGCGATGGAGGTACGGGGAGCCAAAGTCCATATGAAATTATATACTAGTTTATAAGACTAATGAAAGGTCCACCAAAACGTATGCAATCTATCCGTCTCACTAATAATACTGATGATGATCATAATAGTGATGGTAGTAATGATGATAGAGGTGAAGATGATGATAAAGATGGTGGTAATGGTGGTGGAGATGGTGATAGTCTTGGACATGTTGGCATGGTGGTGGCGGTGATGGAGGTATGGGGAGCCAAAGTCCATATGAAGTTATATACACCGCAGAGGAAGGATTTATACATGCTACAAAAGATGAAGATCCTGGCTCTCGACTAATGTTTCAATATGAACAACGCTCAAAATTAAGTCAAGATCGTCAACATTGGCGTACTCAAAATCCAATCACTCCACATGGTGTGGGTGCTATTAGGTATGAAATTGATATGACTAATAATGGTTTTTCTACTATGAGTGTGTAAGTGGAAGTGGAAGTGGAAGTGAACACCATAATTATGGTTCGTTGTCTTCGTATGGTTATGGTTCTGGATATGACATTTCCTCATATGATTATGGATTGGGGTATGACACATGAGGATACGAATATGAATCCTCAACATATGGTTGTGGATCTAGACATGACTCTTGGACATCCTCCTCATATAGCCAAGATGAACGTTAGTCAGGGACTAATGCATTCGTTTTCCAATAGAGTGGATGTAGTGTTGCGGACTATCAGAGANTGAGGAATGTTAGATAAATTGGAGAGTAGCAATTGTGGTGCAAGGAGGGCTTTTGCACTGACGGTTGTATTCCAATTTTTTATTTTTTAGATTTTAATTTGATTTCACTTGTAATTTGATTTCGCGTATAAATTTTTTTTTTTGAATTTGCATAAAGATTTTTTCTTCAATTTTTGCACCAACGGTAGTGCCGCACAGTGGGCTGGTGGTGCAATTGGGTTTGAAGTTTGGTCTAAAGTGGCACAACCAAGTTTGTATTTTCATGTTTCTTATTCATGGTGCTAAGATGGTTATTCGATGTCTGGTGCAAAGTGGGGGCCGTGGCCAGTGGAGTAGTGAATTGGTAGAGGTGCATTCTAGTGTTGAGGAGGTGGTGGCATCGGAATAGGGAAGAAGAATGGGATTGGGTGGTTTATTGGAGGATGGGGAGGTGTAGGGAGTCGGGTGAAGAAGAAGATGAAGGAAAGGGTATTAATGTCATTTTAGTTTTGTTGTCAACAAAGTTAGGAGGGCACTTTAGTCTACTAACCACATGAGGGTTATGTGGCTATTTTTAAATGATAGGGAGGTGATGTGAAAACGGGTATACCATAAAGGGGTAAAATGAAGTTTGCCCTTTTATTATTTAAAAGTGTTATCCTTTTGGATGTTATCATTTATAAATGTTATCATTGTGGATGTTATCATTTATAAGTGTTATCATTATTTATATTGTGTAGTTTATAACTTGAACCCCACATACCATTATGAAGAAGATGTTAGTGTGTTAGAAAAATTTGTTGGGTTCGGTTTGGATCGTTGTGTCTAAGATTAAAGACAAATCCAAATAAGACTGTTAAAGTACTTGCATAGGTAATACTTTAGTATTTCGATCTCATTTTAAGAGTGTACTATTTTAATGTACAACATCAACATATACATGATATTTAGGTCAAAATATTTTGAGACGCAATGTATTGTTTTGCTGGCCATACTGCAATTAGGGGAAGAACCAAAAGTGATCCAAGTAATTAAGTAGATTGTTTAAACATAATATTTTGTCCTTATATTTTCAGTTTATGTGTTTCTTTAAATTTTTAAGATGTTTCTTAATATTATGTAGCTAAATAGTGGTTTATATGTGGCACTGATGTTCCTAATTTGAGAAAGATTGTTATGAATATAGTATCGTAAATAGCCTCATTTAGTGGTTGTGAGAGAAATTAAAAGCACATTTGTTCACATTCATATTAAAGTGCAGAATCGACTCAATTATCAAAAGTTGAAAAGGCTAGTTTTTGTATAGTTTAACATAAGGTTGAAGTTAAAACACCTTATGAAGGATAAGAAAGGGTACAAATTTAGATCTACAAACTTGGTCACTGTTTTTGAGGAAGATGAAGGTATTTTAAAGTGGTTAAATGATCCAAAAAGTGCAGTTTTAGATGAACTTGATGTTGATGGACAACCAATATGACCAAATGCTTTCCTTAAAACGTGGGCAATTGTTTTTCCAATGATGATGGAGAAGTAGGCCAAAGTTAGAGTGTTGTGTCACTATAGAAATCAAGATTCAAAGTAAGTGGAGAAGGATCAAGTAAAGAAAGGAACAATACTTCACCAATGGATGATGAAGAGTTTGAGACTAATGAGAGGTCCACCAAAACGTATGCAATCTATCAGTCTCACTAATAGTACTGATGATGATCATAATGGTGATGGTAGCAATGATGATAGAGGTGAAGATGATGATAAAGATGGTGCTAATGGTGGTGGAGATGGTGATAGTCTTGGACACGGTGGCATGGTGGTGGTGGTGGCGATGGAGGTACGGGGAGCCAAAGTCCATATGAAATTATATACTAGTTTATAAGACTAATGAAAGGTCCACCAAAACGTATGCAATCTATCCGTCTCACTAATAATACTGATGATGATCATAATAGTGATGGTAGTAATGATGATAGAGGTGAAGATGATGATAAAGATGGTGGTAATGGTGGTGGAGATGGTGATAGTCTTGGACATGTTGGCATGGTGGTGGCGGTGATGGAGGTATGGGGAGCCAAAGTCCATATGAAGTTATATACACCGCAGAGGAAGGATTTATACATGCTACAAAAGATGAAGATCCTGGCTCTCGACTAATGTTTCAATATGAACAACGCTCAAAATTAAGTCAAGATCGTCAACATTGGCGTACTCAAAATCCAATCACTCCACATGGTGTGGGTGCTATTAGGTATGAAATTGATATGACTAATAATGGTTTTTCTACTATGAGTGTGTAAGTGGAAGTGGAAGTGGAAGTGAACACCATAATTATGGTTCGTTGTCTTCGTATGGTTATGGTTCTGGATATGACATTTCCTCATATGATTATGGATTGGGGTATGACACATGAGGATACGAATATGAATCCTCAACATATGGTTGTGGATCTAGACATGACTCTTGGACATCCTCCTCATATAGCCAAGATGAACGTTAGTCAGGGACTAATGCATTCGTTTTCCAATAGAGTGGATGTAGTGTTGCGGACTATCAGAGATTTATGACTAATAAGTGATCAATGATTAACAACTTGATTAGTTGTATAGGGAAAGGCTATAATATCTTTTATACAGTTAGTCTCATTTGTTGTTAAGGGTTGTAATTAGCCTCTTTTTTTTATTTTTTAATTTGTATACATTATATTTATCGACTCTTGATAATTTTTATATTTTATGAATCTTTAGGTATCAAATATAATATTGTAAATTTAAATATATTATTTTTTTTATTAATTGGGAGAAAAAAATTTAAAATTTCTGAATAAAGTGTCTACCCTAGACAAAATTTCTAGCTCCGCCATTGGCTTTAGTGTGATGTAACAACACCTTTGGTTCATGATTTT